ATTCACACACACACACACACACACACACACACACACACACACACACCCGACACACACAACCACACACTCCTCTTTTGCTCCCTTGCTGTGCCTGTCTACCTGCCTCTGTAGCTGGGTCTAGGGTGTAATTGACAAGTTCGTTAATGACTCCTCCTCTCCAGGTGTCTGGTTATGTGGCTTGCTCTCTAGCACTTTAGCCAGACAGGATAAAATTCACCTTAACAAGACATGACTTAAGGGGAACAAAGCATGAATGTACTCACGACACCGATAACCCCAATATAAGTGACCACCTGAGAAAAGAGAATTAGGGGACAGAAAACAGAGTACAAATAATATCTAAGAGAGAGAGAGAGAGAAAGGAAAAAGAAAAATGATAGGTGAGAAAAGAAAAAGGAGAATGAATAAATATATAGATATATAGATATATAGATATATATGAATATGGAGAAACCACAGAACCAATAGATAAACCAAACAAATACAAACACCAAACACCCAGTAAAGAGGGTGGGGGCAGACTCTGTAAAGGCTGAGCTGATATACAGGAAACAAGGTTAAGAATGGAATAAATATGGGGAGGACCTCACTTCAGTATAGCAGAGGTAGAAAAGGGATGAGTGGATAAGAAGAGACAGGAAGGGAACAAAATAATATAGTAACAAAAAAATTGATTTAAAAAAATGGTATAAAAATAGAAAATAACAAATAAAAATAAAATTGAATGATGAAAAAATAGTGTGAAAAGAAACAGAAAATAAAGCAACTAACAAAAAAGGAGAACAAAGAAAAAAGCAAAAAAAGAGCAACAAACAAAAAAAGGGAAACAAAGAAAAAAGCAAAAAAAAGAGCTAATAAAATAAAATAAAAATGAAAAATTGAAATGTCATTCCCTTGGCTGGCTTAAGATCCCAGTTTTCTGGAGTGTCTGTCGTATTATTTTATCTTGATAATGGATTAATATTAATGACAGTGCTGTTGTGATTAAACTGAGATAGGTGATATAAAATTTAGTTTTAAATTAAGAGTACAAAGTAAAAATTTCATTCAGAACACAGCACAGTACTTGGCCAAGTACTTAACAGATTTCCTTAAACATTACCTCCATGAAGAGACATGCAAGGATAAGATGCTCTCATCAAATCTTTCAGAAGACCATCGGCATGTTCCTGCTTATCCACAAATATAATGACAGATCCAGATTCCTGATAATGGCCCAAAAGCTCAAGTAACTTCAAGAATTTCTTTTCTTCTTCAATCACAATCTGAAAACACCAAATTGTACCAAAGTAATGGAATAAAAACATAAATACATCTCATAAACAAAAATACTTGTTTTGTGGCAAAGGATAAATGACAACACCTAAATCATTAGGAAGGATTAGAAAAATTTTGATTTGAATTAGTAAACCAGTAAGACCAAAAAAATTGTTAATTTTCAAAGAATAAGAGGCTTGCAAATGTGGACAAATGATCATCTGTTCTCTCTGCCTCTTAACTTCACATCCTATTAACCAAAGAATAAGATAGCTACGTGACATTCCCACCTACCAGTCCACCTCTGGTGGAAGAAACTACAAGAGCATCATAAAACAGTCAGTTCCATGGAAAAGCACATATTCAAGTGTATCTGGTAACATATTAAAAGCCTGCAGTTGATGTTGCTATTTATTTTTAGGAATATTCTAACTACATCACAAACAGTGATCCCAAAAGGATCACACACTGCCTAAGCATCCAGGGGACTGGGGGTTTCATAAGGATTATACCCACCACTTGCTGCTCCACATCCGAGCAAACCACACTCCTGCCTCCAACCTGCACTTCAATGGGCTTACTCAGGATTCTGCGAGCCAAAGCCTCCATAGCTCTGGGGAAAGTAGCTGAAAACATAACTGTCTGTCGGTCAGGACGGACATTATCCACAATACGCATGACCTGAGAAAAGATAAATCAATATGGTAGTCGCTAAAAATCATGATGTAAAAACCAGCTAGAAGGAATTTTTGAGAACATCTAGTCAGTGATTCTAAACTTGTTACCTTAGAATTCTACAACTGATTTTACCCCAAAATTTGTTCCTCTCATAATTTCCTGCTTTCAAGAAATGGCAATTCTAGTCATCCACATGTTTAGGCCAAAAACCTAGGAGCCATCTTTGACTACCCTCTTTCTTTCTCATCACACAACCAATCCATCCACAAATTCAAGAGTCTCAATTTTCAAACTGTATCTAGGATGTAACCATTCTCCATTTAGTATTACTATTTACCTTCATTTATTCAACACATTTTTACTGAGCAACCATTATGTGCCAGGCATTTTCTAAGTGTTTGAATAGGCAATGAAAAGAGGCAAACACTTGTCTTCATATTAGCTTATATTCTAATTAGCTTATATTCTAATAAGGTAGACAGATAAATATATTACATGTCAAATGGTGATAAAAATTACAGAATGAAATAGAACAATGAAAATGAACAAATTGTTGAGTGGATGGGATCCAGGCAACACTTGCCTCAGTGTCTATAGAGCATTGGAGGAATCAAGAAGTCCTAGGATTCTGGTAATGACTAGTATAAGCAAGAAAGAAAAAACAGAAATGGCCCTAGCTGGTTTGGCTCAGCAGATGGACTGTGGACTGACGAGTCCTGGGTTCGATTCCAGTCAAGGGCACATATCTGGGTTGCAGGCTCAATCCCCAGTAGGGGCCGTGCAGGTGGCAGCTGATCAAAGAAAGATTCTCTTGCACCACTGATATTTCTATCTCTATCTCTCTTCCCCTTTCTCTCTGAAATCAATAAAAAAGGTATTTTTTTTAATTTTTAAAAAATAATTTAAGATAAAAAAAGCCCTGGCCAATGTGGTTCATTAGGTTGGAGCATCATCTTGTGTACCAAAGGGTCTCGGGTTCAATTCCCAGTTAGGACACATAACCAGGTTGCCGGTTTGATCCCTGGTCGGGGTATGTACAGGAAGCAACCAATGGATGTTTCTCTCACCTATCAGTGTTTCTCTTGCTCCCTCCTCTACCTTCCTCTCTAAAAATCAATAAACATATCCTTGGGTGAAGATTAAAAGAATTTTTTCCCTGGATGGTGTTTTCAGTGGTTAGAGCACTGGCCCAGACACAGAAGGGTCTCAGGTTCGATTCCCAGTCAAGGGCATGTACCTCGGTTGCAGGTTCATTCCTGGACCTCAGTCAGAGTGCACGAGGCAATCAATCAATGTGTCTCCCCACCCTCCCTTCCCTTCCAGTGTCTCTAAAAATTAATGGGAAAAAATATCACTGGGTGAGGATTAACAAAAAACAAACAAAACAATTTTTTTTTAATTAAAAACACACACACACATGATAGTTTCAAGGTAGGTAGTGGTGAGAGGTTAGAAATTAGGAAGGGTGAAGGTCATGACAAGAATATAAAAAACTTTAGGATCACATTTTCATTCTAATCAAAGAGAATCTGAGAAAGGGACAGTCATAGAAAAGGCACTTGCATTTACAACATAAATCCTAAATTCCTGGCCCAAACCTCAACCACCGCTCATCTGGATTATTTCAACTGTCTCCTAACAGGTCTCCCTGGCTTCACTCCTGCCCAATCTGAATATTCTGCACCCACATGCCAGTGCTTTCAGTTAAAGCAGCGGTTCTCAACCTGTGGGTCGCGACCCCTTTGGCGGTCGAACAACCCTTTCACAGGGGTCGCCTAAGACCATCCTGCATATCAGATATTTACATTACGATTCATAATAGTAGCAACATTACAGTTATGAAGTAGCAACAAAAATAATTTTATGGTTGGGTCACAACATGAGGAACTGTATTTAAAGGGCCAGAAGGTTGAGAACCACTAAGTTAAATACTGGTTGTCCAGAGGTCTTTACTATCCTTCCCTTGCAAAAAAAAAAAAATGCTGTAAAGAATGCTATAAGGTTCTCTACTCCAAGCTAAATTTCCTCACCCTTTTAACTATTTTTCACATGGCTCAAATGTTACCATATCCTGTTTACTCACTTTTGCACACCTCTATATCTCATTTAGAATGTGGTCCGTAATTCTAAACACACTACATACTTATCATATAACAGGCAATACATTTTTGGAGAATACATGAATAATTGAAAAGACTGAATATAATTTTAATCTTATCCCTTCCTAAATCCTGTTTCTATTACTGCAGTTTGTGATTAAAAAAACTTTTTTGGCCCTGGCTGGGCAGGCAGCCTGGTTGGTTAGAGCATTCCATATACGCCGAAGTTATGGGCTTGATCCACCCTCGGCGCACATACAAGAATCAATCAATGAATTAATAAATAAGTGGAACAATAATTTGATGTTTCTCTCATAAATAAATTTTGGCAACTCACGTTGCTCTTCTTGTCCCCCACCCCCTTTTTTTTGTTTTGTTAATTCTTCCCCAAGGATATTTTTCCATTGACTTTTAGAGAGTGGGAGAGAGAGGGAGAAACAGAGAGAGAAACGTCCCTGTGAGAGAGACACATTAATTGGTTGCCTCCTACATGCACCCCAACCAGGTATGTGCCCTTGACTGTAATCAAATCTGTGACCCTTCAGTCCGCAGGCCGACACTCTATTCACTGAGCCGAACTAGCTAGGGCAAACATTACTCTTCTTGTTAAGAAAATTTTATAACATCTTTTAACATGTATTTTTCTAAATTTATAGCACTGAAATTTATATTTGAGCAAATAGCATGTGTCAGGTAAAATCTAAGCTAGGCAAATGTTTTGGGCCTCAGTTTTTACAACCGGAGAATTTAAATATGTGCTATCTAGATCATTAGGTAATTAAAAGCATGAATTAAAGCAATGTATTGGAAGTACATTAAAACTACAAAATATGAAATATGAAAGCTTAAGTTTCTTTTATTAGCATTTCAATTCTAATTTTACCAATTACAGTTTTAGATGGCTAAGTAAAGCCTGCATGAATACCTCCTGAATGAGTTTTATAGAGAATTAAAAACATAAATGCCTATTTCAATTTTATATGTCCCCAACCCACATAGCAGAAATGTATGTGAATATTTTAAAACCTTACAAAAATTACATTCTCATAGTTGTTACATGATTTACAGTTCAAAACACTACGGAATTTAATAATTACCTGTGGTTCAAAACCCATATCGAACATTCTGTCTGCTTCATCTAAAACAACATATGTCACTCTTCGAAGATTTGTGACCCGACCTAAGATAAGGGGGGGTTGAAAAAAGACAAAAAGAAAACTAAAAATCAGTCACAATTCATTTTATGGCTACCAAGAACATTACAAAACTGTAAAGGGAACTAAAATGCCTCACTTAACCAGAGGGGTAAGTTAGTTATCTTTAAACAGTGAAAAGAAATTTTGGTCTACAATGTCTTAACTAATGGCAAATACTTTCTGACAATGGGTATATGAGGCCCTTTATTTGTCAAACTCTTCTCTTGCATACCATCATAGGGCCTGAAGAACCTGTAAAATTCAGAAAACAGCCCTCTCCAAAACACATCATAAAACTAAGACTGAGATGAAGCATCGAGCCACATCAGCCATTATCTGACAGCATCACCTAGGAAAAAACATATTAGAGATTACAGCGTATGTGTGGAAAGCAAATGCCAGTGCTAACTATTTCAGATGCAGAAAACCTCTCTTAATATGACCTTATAACCTACTTCCATCTAGTCAGAAACTTCTAATGGGAATGTCAAAACACTCATGAGAAGCTATGCAACACCATTAGGTAGCTATCACATTACATGAAAACTAAATACCAAACGTATTACATGGATACATTTTTTAATATATACATAAAAAATCCAATTTTATTACATGCTCCCACAGGTTTAAAGAAATGTGACAGGCTTCTTAGATAGTAAAAATTACATACATACAGAGGAAGCCCTTTCTAAACAATTAACACAAGCACTTCTATCAATTGTGGAATCAATCACCTGGCAAACAGTTATTAAATATAAACTGAAAGGATAGATAAGGGAAAAAGGTAAAATTAATCAAGATGAATTTCAGGAGGAGACTTAATGCAGCATTGAGAAAAAACAAGGGATTATTTCAACATCCAACCAAAAACTTTCATATGCTATACAATTTCAATGTCACTTTGTCAACTTCATATAGCATTAGAATTAAATAGACACAGAAATTCAAGCAGAGTGCTATTAGAAACATGCGCTATTTGGGTTTTAATATTCTATTATTTATATACTAACTACTGCAACAAAAACCTTTGAAAGTATTTTCTTCAAAAAAATAGAAATGAGCCCAAATAAATGCTTTCTAATGTTTAAGTATTCCATACCAACATTTGCAGCCCCAAGTAATTTTGTAAGGTTGGGAACAGCATTAGATTACCTACCTTTGATGGTTTAAGTCTCGGAAGCCCAGTTCTATAAATCTTGAAGGGCCTTTCTCCACAGAAGTTAAATAATGTCAACAGTTTAGTAACAGTTTTGACAGGGAATAATTGAACAAAGCACAACATTTGAGCTAAAAACATGCAGTATTTACAAAAGATAAAGTTTCTTAAAGCTGCAATATCTTAATTGATCCAGTATTGTAAGAAAAAACTAGCACCTGTGAAGAAAAAATATCTAAATTTTATAATGAAAAAAGAGATAGACCCTCATCCTTTTAAAGGAAAGTTAGCTAAACGTGGATTAAGAATCCATGTTAAGTGCTAAAAAGACTGGAGTTAGTTTTGAAAAGAAATTTTCATTTAAATTGCAAAAATATTATGAACACTTACAAAATAAGATTGTTACAATACATATTTTAAGATATTACAGCTTTAAGAAGAAATGTAGAAACCCTTTGAGGGTTTCTTGTTTCTGCTGTGATTTAACAAAAATGTATATAATCCAAAAAGGAGAAAAGAGAAAAAAATACCCGACTTACCACTGTTAGCTGCTAACATGTCAATCATTCGACCAGGTGTACAAACAATAATTTCAGCACCTCTTTTCAGTTCAGCAATCTAATAAAGAAAAAATGAACTTTTATAGTCTATGTATAACTATGTGCTTATTTAAAGAGATTTAAGACTACGTCCAAGGTCCTTGACACAGCTCTGTAGTGTAAGAAACAGGTCTGATTAGAAGAATCTAAAGCTTCCTACTTAATATACTGAAATGCTGGAGCACTGCTAATATGTATATAATCCAAAAAGGAGAATTCATGTTTTCTCCATTTGGGATTATATAACTTCAAAGTCAATGAAAATCAGAGATCCATTTACCAATTATAATTTGACACAGTCCCTCAAAACCAAAAGGAACATGAGCTAGCAGTAAATAAAGCAATTACTTACAAGATCAATGTTTTTAAAATGAAAGTCGTTTCCATTAGTGAATCACGAAATCAATACACACAAACAGCATTTTAAAAATAAAATAGAATGAAAAATATCAGAATGTGTTAGACATTATAAAACTTTTGTTTGCCCTGACTGGTTTGGCTCAGTGGATAGAGCGTCAGCCTGCGGACTGAAAGGTCCCAGGTTCAATTCCAGCCAAGGGCATGTACCTTGGTTGCGGGCACATCTCTAATAGGAGGTGTGCAGGAGGCAGCTGATTGATGTTTCTCTCTCATCGACGTTTCTAACTCTCTATCCCTCTCCTTCCCTCTCTGTGAAAAATCAATAAAATGTATTTTACAAAAAACAAAAAAACTTTTGTTTGACTTCTTTATAAATATACTGTGTGTGCATGTACAAGGTTATTCTGTAAATGTATCTTACTATACAATGTGGTAAAAAAAACACACACAAAGATAAACTGAGAAAACTAAAATCAAGTGTTTAAAATAGCATTGGGATAACAGAAGCAAATATTCCCAAAGTATGTTCTAGAACAGCCGTGGGCAAACTACGGCCCATGGGCCGAATCCGGCCCATTTGAAATGAATAAAACTAAAAAAAAAAAGACTGTGCCCTTCTATGTAATGATGTTTAGTTTGAATTTATATTAGTTCACACAAACACTCCATCCATGCTTTTGTTCCGGCCCTCCGGTCCAGTTTAAGAACCCATTGTGGCCCTTGAGTCAAAAAGTTTGCCCACCCCTGTTCTAGAACCTGAGAACACGAGTCTTCAGAAAGGGTTTTGTGGTTAAATAAGTTTTAAAAATGCCATTTAACCCATTCTTCTAGTATCACAATATACACTAGCATATTAAAGACAAAGGAGTCTTGCAGGAAAAAAAACCTGTTTTAACTCTGTACAATCCAACATTTACAAAACTTATTTGATCATAGAACAAACCCAGTTTTTTCCTTCTTTTATTTAAAACTAGAAGCCCGGTGCACAAAAATTTGTGCACTGGTGTGTTGGTGTGTGTGGGGGCGTGTTTCTCAGCCCAACCTGTGCCCTCTCACAGTCTGGGACCCCTCGGGAGATAACCACCTGCTGGCTTAGGCCCACTCCCCTGGTGGCAGATGGCATGCCCGATCCTGCGGTGCCTGCACCATATCCCTGGTCACACACAGCAGGCCTGGATCCCGCGCTGGGATGGGCGGCAGCTGGGGATCTCGCTGCCGCCCACCCCCCAACTCCCCACCCTAGGCCGAACACGGCAGGCCTGGA